CATTTTAACATGCAATATTTACTAAAGATAACTTTTTTTAATGTTTTTTAATTTTATATTTCATTTTAAATATAAAAACTATGAAATGCACAGGGGACTTTTATACATTTACCTAAATTATTCTATTTATTATGTAAGCTCAAACTGCCTTTGTGATGATTGCCAAAACAGAAGCAGAAGCATGTCATTACATAAACACATACATAAACTACTGTGATATTTATCACTTTAACAATCAGCTTTTTTAATGCTATTACTAAAAGCATATAGAGATATAAAGAACATTACCCTACAAAAATACAAAAACTGCTACTGCCAACTCTACTCAATCAACTTATAAAGTTGACAATGTTGTTTAAAAATTCTAGCAGTACTGCTAGAATACAATACAATACAAGTGTAAAATATTCACCAGTGGTTACATTTTTACAGTACTATGCTACCGATATAATAAATCATAGTTATTGATCACTGATTCGCTTTTTTGGCAAACTAAAACATGAAAGTCCAGGATATTAGTGTCCAGTTTAAAGAAAACCATTCACCAAAAGGGCAATTACTACTCTTGAATTGTTGTAATAGTTTAGCTGTACCTCTCAGGATTATTTCTTCTCTTCAGATGAGAAGTGTCAGACCGTAAGGCCTCCTTTCTCCTGCCGTAGCTTGCACTACTCAACTGAGTTTAGTTGAGTTCTACTCAAGGAGACACACACCATCCATGAGAAGTAAGTCTTCACTATTCGAACACATTAAGAGTCAGATTCTTACAAATGCCCACTCCTGACTGGTTCACTTTCTACACTAATTTTAGATATCAAATCCAACAACCTTTAAATATATCGGGTTTTGTTGCATTTCCAGTATTTCTTGATTTGATTTCTTAATTTGAAAGAAATAGAATGTGTATACTAAAATATGAATCAGTCCATATGAAATAACTGAGTTCAGTTGAAAATTCCTATAATTTACAAACACTAAGGGGGATATTTATAAAGCAGCAGATGTGACTTTCACCAAAGATTCACTCACTGTGAATCAATCACTGTCATTTAAGACACACACTCCTAGCAATATCACATGCAGTGAATGACTGTTAGATACACTGCTTTATAAACATGGCCCCAAGACTTATCCTACTATTTCAAAGGCAAACATTTGTGTTTTTTTTCCAAGAAAAAAAAAATAATCACTGATCTAATTTACCTAACATTTTTAACAACTATGCAATTTGTATTAAAAAGATAAAATAAAAGAGCATTACCCATTACGTATTAAATCATAAGTCTGTGTCACAAAATCATTGGGATCAGGAGAAGCCACACATGTGTCGACAAACAAAGTGAGATTGGTGTCAGATGATTGCAGTGTAGCCTGGAGATACAAGTTCTGATTCAGTTCCACATAGTATGGATAGTTATACACTGGATACGTAAAGCTTGGCGAATGGTAAAAGTACAGTGAAGTATGGTACAAGCCATATTGTGTCAACGTTTGATTTATGACGTCTTGTGCATGATACATGATGTGCACCATGGTGTTTTGGAACATCTGGCAACGGAGATTCAAGTTGAGTGCTCTGCTGCGTTCAATAATTTGACCAGAATGGTAGCCATGCAATATATTTGAATAGCTAATTGTGTCTCTATCACCCTGTAGAAACAGAACAAGCTTTAAACAAACTAGTAAAACAGTTACACATTATACATCTAAAAATTATCATTTTTTTCCTTAGAAACATTCTATATTATGAATTGAAAACATGTATGCTAATATTTGTAAACAAGGCACTTTATCATACAAATAATGTTAAAAAAGATTGCTTAGACAGACCTCTGCCAGAAGACTGCCAAAAGTTAAATGTCAGCTATGTAGTAAATGAAGCCTTGATTAAGTAGCCAAAGCAGTGTTTTACTGTAAATCTGATTCTTAGATTCAGATTAATTATTAAGAATGTCCAATATTTTTCACAGCATCATTGGATACAAGGATTCCCTATGAAAAAAATACTTAATTGCAGGGAAGAGCAATGAGGAGAGGGGTCAGATGTGAATGCAAGTGGATAGGATTAGTGTATAACTCAACCTTCCAGAATTAACTGGAAAAGACTAAAATGTTAGTTAGGATACCCTAATTCTTTAGGGCCCTTTCACATCTACACAACCATTAATTCAAATTTATGATGTATTTTACATTATGAATGTACGATGTATGGCTAAAAGGATATGTGTTAATTATTTTTTTTGCACATTATGGAAGAATCAGCTCCTTTCATTTGAGAGTCTGTTTTTCAGTAAAACTAAGGTAAGGCTTCCTTTATTTAAATGCTGATAGAGTATATAACTACCAAATCCCACTAGAATGTAATATATGTATGCAGATGGAAGTGAGGACAACATATAGCTACTGGGGAGAAAGAAAGAAGACTTGTGGGCTTGAAGAAAAAAAAACTCCAGCTGAAGTGTCAACTATGCACCAGCGATTGGAATCAAAGCCCCAGATTAAGTTAAGCTAACTTTTAATGAGTAAGTCAAATAATATTACTTTGTCAGATACTTAAAGCCCAACTGAATCTTCAGTTTCAATCCCATTTCAGAGGTCACACATGCCCCCTACTAAGCATACCTATAGCTTTGCAATCAGCACATTTCATGCTCTTCACTGATAGAAGACAGGCTTTTGCTACTCAGTTTGTGACTGCTTTCTAAAATTAATGAACTGAAAAACTCTTTGCTTTGATGCACCTGTAATGTATTTAGCTAGTGTGTATGTGTATATAAATATTTGTTACCCTATTTTATATCTTTATTTTCTTTTAATCAGTGACATGCACCTCTCTTCTTCCGGTTATAAACTGATCTGAGCAGTTCCAAGTTGAGAACTAAAATATTTTAAAATTAGGGACCAAACTTGGCAGAGGTGTCTTGTTCTGGCTCCGTGCAAGGTTTTAACCACTTGCCATCCATGACCATTCCTGAACGGCTGGACAGGAGCCTTATAAGAGTGGGAGGGCATCTTAAGACGTCCTTCCCCTCCTCACGCTCGTGCGCGGCACCCTGCGCGCACACTAGTGGGGAAACTGTTTCCAATGTAAACAGCCAGCGATGGCTGTTTACATTCAAGCAATTGAGTGTCTCTAGAGATGCCCGATCGCTTGTAGTAGGTGCGGGTGTGCACCATCTCCGTCGCTGCCGGTCCCGAGATCCGCTGTGCCCAGTGCGGCTAGGACCGCCACGTCAACTTTGTCAGTGGAGATCAAAGGGAGACCAGTACATGATTTCCCTTTGACCTCCTCTCCTGTCCCGGAATGCAGGAAGTGATGTATATTACATCACTTCCACATTCCTATGTCACTCTCCAGTACAGAAGCCGGAGAGAAGCTGATGAAGCAGATCTCTGTTTCATCAGCTTCTCTGGGGGTCCCTAGGTGACATCAGGGGTCTCCATAAAGAGGACCTGTCATGTGAATTGGCTATCAGATAGGGGTTTTCTTAGCCCCCCATGTGATATCAATAAAGTTAAGTGTAAAAAAAATGTTTAAAAAAAATGAAAGCATAAAAAAATAAAGAAGCTAAAAAAAGTCACAAATAATTTTTATTTTTATTTTTTAAAAGTCCCCCGCCCCCACATAGACACGCAAACATGCGTTGGGCGCGCCAACCTGCGAAAACGACGATTCCGCCTATTGTGCCGCACTTGTTACATATCACCGCAAACGGCAGAGTGAGAGCAATAATTTTAGGGCCATTAATTACTGATAATACTAAACTGATGAGCAGTAAAAGCTTCTAAAGCATCGCCAATGGGCAATTTTTGGGTGAGTTCGTTTTCTATTTCGCGGGCGCGCGCAATTTTGAGGCTTGGCATGTTTGGTGTCTATTTACCCAACGTGACCCCGTCTTTTATATTTTACCAAAAAACTTGGGATGATAATAAATGTTCCATAACATTTCAAAGGGAAACAGGTAGATAGCTACTTGCCAAAAAACTTTGTCCTCCAGGTTATAGTTAGCATACCTGTTTTACTGTGCCGCACTGATTGTATGGAATGTAAAAGATTAGCCAATTTCCAGACCTATAAGGACGGCATTTAGCATCATTCAGAAATACATCATTTGTAGAATATCCTAAAGACTGCAGATATTGTACTGAAACCTGAGCTTCCATGAGATCTGATGTACAATAAAGGGCCACTATAAAAGAAAGATGTTAAAAAATAAAAGCTGTACATTGTGTTCAAAATAATCAAGCTTAATTAAAAAAAAAGACAGTTAAAGTATAAAGAACACATGCACACATATAAAACCATAGATTCCTGCCAGTAATGTTTCCTTCATTTTGTATAAAATATAAAGGCAATACAGGTTTATCATGTTAGAAAACTTTCCAAAACCTATACATCAGTTTTGGGTAAAATATACTAGGTTAAATCAAAAGCCAACCTTTCATGTCTTTGAATGGAATACTGTGAATAAATATCTGCACCTGAGTTCCTAGCTCCACCTTGTTTTGCTACACTAGAGAAGTGTTTTTCTATTTTTATTCAAAACAGGATAAGTGATATGCTCTTGCTTATCTTTGTAAAGGACTAGGGGCAGGGAATCTGGTAGAATCCTACAACTGGAATATCCAAATGATGTAAGAAGCCAGGGCATAGTCTAACCTACTGTATGTAATCTGAGCCAGTGGTACATGTACACCAGGGAGTACCTCTGTTGAAATAAGTTTATAATTAGGGATGCACCGATACTTTGAATACCAATGCCGATACTTGGCATTTTCACGAGAACTACCAGGTTTGCAGTGGCTGCAGCTGGGACCTAGCTCTGGTGCTCCACCACTGTCCTGAAATCATTGGTCTGTATTGTTTTAGAAAAAAGTGTCACATGACAATAAACAAAAATGTATCAGTACTCATACTTGTAAGTACTTGGGCAAGTACCAGTACTTGCAAAACTGGTATTGGTGCATCCCTTTATTTATATTTATAAAAACAAAATCATACATTAAAACAGAGATGTACAAATCCCAGGAGCTCCGTGTGCTCCTTACAAATGACAGCTGCCTCCTAACTTTTGAATTTTTCTCAAGTCTAGTCTTGGAGCTCAAAAAGTATCGGTACGTGTACTTGTACCAAGTACTGTACTTGGTATCGGTGCACCCCTTTTTATAATAGCAGTTTAGAATTGTATCAGATAGTAAATAACAGATCTGAGTATTCTTACATGACTTGAGAAACAGTGTTGAGTGAGAGTTGTGAAAAAGGGGTCAGTGCGTGATAAGGTAAAATCGGTGTGTTGATTTTTTTAACTGCTTTGTAGCCATTCCCTGATTCACCATTCCCTGATTCACCTGCCATGTGCTTTTCAGGTATTAAGTTGGCCTTAATGGGTCCCCATTGGTAGCTAATGCAGGATTGGTAAGGGAAAGGCTTGTTGCAGGACTGTGACTGAAACATAACACTGAAATGAGTCACTAACATTTCTAAGGCACCTTTCTTCTCTGTCTCCACTCAAAACAAATAAAAAGTCAATATTTAATGTTCACAGAACTTTTTCAGTTTAGAACAACATTTTCCAACACATTGTATCATTACCACTCTGATTATTTTGCAGTATAGAGACGTAGTTGGCATGAAAACCGCGGACATAGTTGCTGTTGCTTCCTGTGCTGTTGAACACAACAGTTAGACTATTGGATGTTGATTTGAATCTGCGTGCCCCTGTTCCACAAAATCTTCCCAATAACGGTGAGCCAGCAGGTGTTCCATCATATACAGATACAGATCCAGATGAACAGAAAGCAGAGCTTTCAAGCCTGTTAACATGTAAAGATTATAAATGGTAAATGCAAAGTTTCTTGTAACAGGAAACAGCAATCTATTGTGTATAAAATGACTTTTACATACAATTCGGTTCTGTATTTAAATCTGTATTGTATCAGGACATTTTAAGGATTAATGGTTGACAATTTTTCAGGTCATCTAGGTGAATTGCCTTATTTTGACTGTGTTTAAATAGACGCAGACTTTGCTAAAGCATCAACTAAATGGCTCTGAGTAGTAATGAAAATATTTATTGATGCTGAGTTGTAAACAAACAAAAAAGGTTTTTAGAAAAACCTTGGGCAAAAAGTTGATCCTGTTCTTATCCATCCGATAGTCGAAAAAGTAAAACCCATTAACCCTTTACTGTTAAGCCCAGCGGAATGCTTTTAACCTCACCTGGCCACACCATTTTTGCAATTTTTCACCTTTTTTTCAACTGCAGCATTTAGCGTTTGTAAAAGACCCCCCAAACCATATATTTTCTGAAAGCACAGGCCCGGTAGAATAAAAAGATGGTTCTACTAATTTTGTAGGTCCTGTGATAATTGTGTAAATGTTCATGAAATCAATATTAAACCGATGAAAATACACAATTAAATTGATGAAAGCACACTGAAATCAGTAGGAGTGCACACAAAAAATACCTTTCCAACTAAAAATCTAAAAAGATAAATCTGTATTGAATTAATAAATAAAAAATATTTGTACAATTTTAAATTGCACCTTTTTGCGAAACGGTAAAAAAATGAAGTAAATAAGCAACGTACGCTATATGTGTTGGACTTGATGGACGTATGTCTTTATTCAACCCCAAATACTATGTACCTATGTAACTATGTAACTATGTATGTTAAAAATCGTTTGTGCGCTGTGTTGGGATGTGTTGTGATAAAATGATGCAGGCATACATTTACTCAAAACACATTGTATTACAACGCATGGCAATGTGTCACAACACTTTGCCATGCGCTGCCACACAGTTAAATTAATTGTATATAAAAAAAGAAAATAAAGCACTGCGATGCGTTTTACCAACGCACCTCAGCGCTTGTGCATGGCATACACCACAATATGGTGCACACTGTTGCACGTGTATAATGTGTGTGTTTTCATTTATTTTTATTTATTCTTTTCCTGTTGGGCGGGCTTCGGCAAATATCTAAAAACAGACCCCTGACATTTCCATTTTGAAATAGAAATTGAGTTTGAGAACTTTAAATTTGAAATTAAAACAGAGTCCTCAATCTCTTTTTCTTTTTCTGCAGCCTCTGTTCTGAATAATTGGATAGCACTCAGTACTAGACATGTGCACGGCAAAAAAAATTGTTTTCTTACGCAACAAATGGAAAAAAAATTCCATTCGTCTCATCAAAGAAAACAAATTTTTCTTCTCATTCGGATTCAGAGGCAACGAGCCAAGATGGCGGCTCCCTTATGTTTGGGCGCCACCATCTTGGTGTATACCAAGATATACTCAAAGATAGTGGCACGCCTGCGCAGAACGCATCAACCGCCAATATGGCCGCCGCTCGTTCTGCAAATTAATTTATGTGTGCCTGAATATAGTTGTAGTATATTCGGGCATATAATAAATTCGTTATTTCGGATTCAGATGAACCGCCAAATAAACTGATTTTGGTTGATTTGCAGGTTCATCCGAATCTGAATGCACGTCTACTCAGTACACAGGCTTCCCATTCATTCACAAACTGGAGATAGTAAATATTTACTAATCAACCAGTTATGAATGGGTAGAAGTCTCTGTACTGAGCTGCTTCTACCCATTCAGAAACTCATGACTGAACAGGAAGTGATGTAAAGCACTTCCTGTTCATTCATAACTGGGGACACATAGTACTATGTGTCCCCAGTTGTTTACAAACATTGGAGTGATCAGCACCCTGAATGTATGTTCATAGCTGTCATCAGTGGCTTTTCTGCTGTTAATGACAACAAATGCTGCTGCTAACGACAACTATTAAATTACAGGGGACCATCAGGGGGACCCTTCTGGTATAAGTTAATGGTTGCAAAAGTGACAGCGAAAGGGTTAAAGGGTACATTTTTATTCTAAAATTATATGGCATGTTTAACTGCTTGTGTATGCTGACAAATCTATCACATTATTTTAGTCATTATATTTATAGTGTCAAGGAAAGTGTTTTGTACACTGTTTACTGGGTATAGACCTCTCCCAGAAATGTCATTTTTTGCTTATGCGATGAGCTCACTCCTTCTACAAATCAATTTCTCTCTTATTAAAACAATAGGACTTTTCAAGTGTTTTCAACACGCAGACCTCCCCACTTGGTACTTAGTAGCAGCTAAGCAGCAGGTAAGACTCTGCAATTACATTTGCTAAAACCTTTGCAATCTACATAAATATATAAATACATTTTCTCAACAAAAGTGGATTTACAAGTTAATAAAGCTCCTGTTCTCTACTGTGAGTTGCAGGCATTCCTTCAAATATCGCTGAGTTTCTTCGATTTCATAAAAATGCAACCTAGAAGTGGTTAGAGCTCTGTGCAAAGCCTTTAAAGCTGTAAATAATCTTTTAGGCTTAAACATTTGTGTACTAAAATGAAATTGTGATATTCTTAATTTTTTTCTTATACTTACGCAACATCATTGAAATTTATCTCAATAACACTGTTTGCGCTTTGTATATGCCAAACACAGTCAGCAGGGCTGCGTGAATATGGATAAGATGGGCTTTCAATTATTCCCCATGGATAAGTTAGGATTCCACCACAATTAACTAGAATAATAAATAAATATAATTAATGAATAAAGCTGGATAAACACACATGCTGTTTGCAAGGTTGTTTGCAATTATTGTATGCAAGTAAAAATCTGTATTTTCTGATGATCATTCTTTACACAAAACCCCCTTGATGTCCACTTTGCTACTTTTATTTACATTCAGTAATAATGGCCTGTATTAATCACAGTGTATATCAGTGAATGATGTATGAAAACTGCTATAGGAAACTTTTAGCACATAGCAACCAGTGAGCATCAATATTCCAAGTTTGAGAGTGAAGTAGGCTTCTGAATGGTTTTCATACAACAGAATTTTCATACATCATTCCCAGAATGGCTGAATAATGTTAGATCCACACAACTCAGTGAAGATAGAATATGGTTACCGTACAGTGTAGCTATCACCCCCATATCCTTTTGTGTTTTACAGTTTATGGTCCCACATTAAGCATTCCAGTATTCAGCAGATCATTCAGCAGATTCCTAGGCCTTCAGCAAATATTGCACCTTAAAACCAAACTGTTAACATTTGAGCAGATGGGTCTGAGAATGATGGATAGAAACAGAATGCTGGAATGGGGGTGTGGAATTGATGGGTATTTTAAAGAGGAGTCCTTAACCTACTTCAATAAAATGATAGTTACCATTTAAAGTTGATAAAATAGGTGAACTGTGGACATGCCACATCATATGCAATGACACAGTACCTGGTTCGGTGGTATTTTTAGTTGATGAGGAGTAGAATACTTGAAATCCAATTTTCTGCACACTACCATCAGTTTGGAAGACAACACCCATCACATTAGAGGAAGACTTAAATGTGGAGTTCCCAGGTGAGCAGATTTTTCCTAGGGCTGGGGAGTTCAATGGCAGCCCATCATATATTGTCACAGAATCAAAAATGCAAGAGCTGTGGTATTCCAAGCTGTAATAAAATAGATAACCGAAAGTTTAATTTTAGTTTATCATATTAAATAGAGACCTTTTATAATCAGTCAGATTAAACTATTCAAAGAAATGTGTAACTTTTTAACAACAAAGATGGAAAGTCATGCATTTTTTGTTATTAACTGATATTAAAAATGTAATAATGTGATATTAATAATTATTATTTATATCATTAGTTAATACATAATGTAAATAATATATCAGTATAAAATTACATTTTGTATACATTAGCTTGGGACAAAACAGTGATATATATCTGAAAAAATGTGTGCTCCCTTTCTCTACTATTTCAGTTTTTTTTAAATAAATGTTTTCAAACCAACCAGAATCTGATTTAAATAACAGAGAAAGGAAGGAACATTTGCAACAGGAAAGCAGGTCATCGATAAAAAAACATTCTCCTAGTTAAAGTGGAAGTTCACGCTACAATTACTCTGTGAACATTAAACGGCCATATAACACATGCACCTTGATAAATGCATAACACCACATTTGACTAATATCCATGCTCCAATTCAGATATCAGCATTGAAAGCTACTGGCCATTTACCAGTGACACCATGCAACCATACAACCCAGCCCCCACATGCTATCTACATCTCGTAATTGCAAAGCCTGGTTGAGAAATGATTCCTCTGTGCTTTTATGCTGTCAAACATGTAGTTAGTTTGAAGGGGGTAAATGAGACCTTGGGTTGCATAATGTGGCTGGTAAATGTGGCTGGTAAAGCAGTTTCCAATGCAGATTGCTGGACAATCTAGAAGTAAAACAGTCAAATGTGGCACCATACATTTATCAAGATACATGTGGTGTATGGCTGTTTATTGTTCATAGAGTAATTCCACTTTAACTTAAGAAGTATTTTGCTTCCTGTCAGTCTTGATTTTGCTTCCTTTACTTACTGTTTAGAACTGTTTGGTTAAAAAAAAAGGTTGTTCACAGAACAATAAAAAAGGGCAAATCTCTCTAAAGCTGTCCATACACCTGTCAATTTCTTTCGTTCAACCCGCGGGCTGAATGGAAGAAATTGACGTGATTCCTCCATCTACACAAACAGCGTATCGATCGAGGAATCCTGGGAGAGTACTAAGATATTCCAGCTGACTCCTTCGATCAGCTGAAAGAGGAATGTCGGCTAGAGGGAGCCAACAGCCCCATACACTGGTCAAATTTTGTCCAGTACATTAAAAACCAGCCGAAATGTGGCCAGTGTAAGGGTACCCTAAAGGAGCCCTGTGCAGCTGTAAAACCTGATACGGGTTCTAATCCTTCCCACTCTATCCAAAATTAATAAACATTTTGGCTATTGATACGCATTCATTTTGACAGTTTCCATCAAGTTGGCAGCATTACATTCCAACAAACGGTGATGTCACAATTACAGGGAGTTCCTGAGCGTGGGAAAATGTTGTTTACATGTATAACTTTAGACAGGTCTCCAAAGCTATTTCTATACCTTTTGGGCCCCACCAAAACACGAGAACCAAAATATGCTAAATTATAAATTAAAAACACCTGAAACACCAGTGAATGCTAAAAAAAATCTAAAGACTTGCAGCCTTCTCTTGTGCCAGCAGTGTTCATGAATCAACAATTAGATCAACAAAGAATCAACAATTAGATCCTCAAGCCTTTTGGAGAAAGCTTTAAGGAAAGAGAAGAAAACAGTGGAGCTTTTTGGATGAAACAGAGCATACTGGGGGGAATTTATCAGAGCAATTGCAGTGTTTGAACTTGCACGGAATATATTTGATGCACCTTGCGCCAGATTTATGATGCTAATGTAATGTTGTTCATAAATGAGGTTTAATAGACTCCAGGAAAGAAGACTTCTAACTTCAATCAAAAAGCTTAGCTGTCACTTCTTGAAGAAGTGGTCATTGGGACTTCTTAACCAGTTCCCATCCAGACCATTTTTCAGTATTCAGCACTGCGGTACTTTGACTGACATTTATTCCGTCATGCAACGCTGTACTGAAATTAATTTTATACAATTTTTTAGGGACAGATAGAGCTTTCTTTTGGTGGTATTTAATCACCACTAGGGTTTTAATTTTTTACTATATTAAGGAAAAATTACCGAAATTTAAAAAAAAACTATTTCCCCTATATTAAATGATAAAACATTTATTATTACCCAATTTTTTGGTAAAATATAAAAGACGGGGTCACGTCGGGTAAAAATACACCAAACATGCCAAGCCGTAAAATTGCGTGCGCGCACGAAACCTCAAAAAACGATGATACCTCAAATTGGCCATAGGCAACGCTTTAAAAGCTTTTACCGCTCATCCGTTTAGTGTTATCAGTGATTGATGGCCCTAAAATGATTGCTCTCACTGCGACGTTCGCGGCGATATGTAACGTGTGTAGCGCAATTGTCGTTTTTGCGCGCTGGTGCACCGGAC